ATAGTGGTTTAACATAAATTATAAGATTCATAAGATCTATTATATATAGTATTTACTATTTTATAAATTATAATATGCTAGAATATAAATATTATTTACTGCAATTTTTAAATTAATACATACCCCGTATATTTAAATTTATTATCTTGAGCACATAAAGTTTAAAAATCCAGAAAAAATAGTTTAAATTTTGATTTATTTAAGTCAAAAAAATTTAAATATTATGATTTCTAATATTATAATACCTACAATATAAAAAATCAAAAAAATCAGAATTTAAATTTATTTATTAATGAAATGAAATGATAGTGGTTATCTGGTTGAGCCACCCTATTTAGTGATAAATTTATGAATGTCTATTTTATTTTTTTAATGAACAGTTATTCGAAGTCAACGTTTTTGAATACTGTATCAAGTTTTTAAATTTATTAACCTCCTATTGTAAATACTTGTTGGACATAAACTTGTAGCGCGTCCTTAAAAAAAGTCTTTATAATCCTGTTCACAGAAGATTTGGGAAGAAAACTTTGATGGTGTACCTAAGTAAGATTTTAAGTATATTGTCCAATGCCGAGAAGTAGTGCAACTATTGAAACATATAGCTGCAGAGAATGTTACAGATTGAAATAACTAAAGTAAAAGTTTTCGAAAATATGGTAATAAATTGAACTTTTAAAGTGTCAAGTGTATCCCGTAATTAAGTAAGTCACAACGATGTTACCCCAAAGTACCTACCATAACCAATTCACTATCAGTTTCAGTTATACCACACTCAAAGTTTAAATTTGAAACATTTTAGTTATCCCAAAAGGTGATGACAGAACACACATTATTGTAAAATTCATCCGCCTCTAAGAATGAAGACAACGACATTTTGATTTACCCAACAGAATAAAAAGGACAAATGAGAAAAATAATATAATCATGGTCACTGTCTTATGCGTACGATGCGTACATCTCACGCCTGTCGAGTTGGCACCGGAATTTAATGTAACATACAGTGAATCTACGAATATCCTACATTTCGCAACGCTATTTCCAGAATTTGCTTCCATTTGGTTTTCCTGGAAAATCAAAAATCTCCTTACAATGGAACTGATAGAACTTTGTTTTAATACCTTGAAATGGGTATCAATGTTTAGATACAAACTCGCTCCATTTTGAAATAATTTTTTGGGGAATTTGATACCCTCTGGTTTTCCTAGAATCTCTGAAAATAGAAAATTTCCTAGCTGCAAAACTTTATTTTAATACTGTGAAATGGGTATTAACGTTTTGTCAATAAGTTATGTGTTAAAAGTGTGTCGAGTATTAAATAATGTTGAATAATACATTATTAGAGTTGCCAGATATAAGATACCTAATAAATACCGAATTAATTGTTATTTTTATATTTACTAAAAAAAACCTTATTTTTCAAATACAATAACATGATAGCGTCCTTTATTTAAAAAAATAAAAATAGTATATACATAATGATATTAATTTAGGTACTTATACTTCTCTGGCAGAAGTTGATCCATCTTTGGCATCCAATATTTTTTATAAATATGAAAATAGGACTTATTTTTTAAAAAATGGGACAGCTATGTTTTGTCAGGACATTGGGAAAGACTTTAAGAATATGGAACTTTCCCGTAAAAAACGTGAAGTATGACCACCCTATAGCATGATGCGTGAAGTGTTCCTTTTAACTTTGTACCTACATAGACCCCATGCAAATATTTAGTCAACTACGTAAAAATGTCCACCTCATGCTTTCATTACATTTTTTCAAAGCCAATTTTTTAACATTTGAATGCATATTTTGAAATATCCAATTCAATAACCAGTTTGATGTGCACACATGTTGGATGTCAAGTACAATACAATTTTGGTATTTAGATATGAATTTTTTTGGAAAGTATTACAACGAATATCCAAAAACCACTTTCTTCAAGGTATAAACTACCCAATTTGCATAGTCATGACTTTAACAAATTATTATTTTGAGTGGTCAATAAATTTTTTTCGACTGTATTATAAGATTTTACAATTGTGACATAATATGCCTATGCGAAAAAGGCCTCGATTTTTTTTAGCAATATATCACAGACAACCACAGCTAGTCATTTTCGTCGTGTTATTTGTTTTCTAACATAAATTGAGGACAACTGAACTGAGAAAAACTGACACCGGCTGCGTTAGTATCGAGTCACATATTTTGCTGTAAAACGCATTATAGCACATGAACGAAACAGTAATCGGTAGATATGTAATTACTTCAACGTATGATTCAACTTATAAGTAGGGCTCGGAACTTCATGCACTTAAAAAGTACTAAACATGTATCCACTTAATACGCATTAAAAAAGTACAAGTACTCTTTAAAAATATGCATGTATTTTTTTTTTTTACTCATATTTTTCATAAATACATTTAACAAAAAATGTTATACATTTTATAATTTTCACCGAATATTTATTAATGCAATCGTTAAATCATAATATGTCAGCTAGATATTTTAAAAACCCGTTACAATACAATCTAGTGAAAACCCACTATAATTGTACATCATAATATTATTATTAATTTTTTGTTTATTGCAAAATTAAAAAAATTGTATTATAAACTTTCCATTATCATCAAATAATTGTCGAAATAATAAAATTAAGAAATATTAATCATTTTATCGATAGCTCAAGCCTTTAAACCACAAAATCACTAAATATGCAAAATTATGTACTACCTATAATATTTTAAATTTTTTTTCGTTATGTCGTGAAAATAATTTCAAGCATAAGTACTTAGCAATAAATCTATTAGATCAAAAAAACATGTAAATGGAACAACTTCCAATTACTACTCATGAGGTTTATCATTATCGATCAAACAGACTATTTGTACAGATAATAATTTGAAACTTATTATTATTTAAAACAAATGTCTTATCGTTATAGCTTAGGAAATAAACTATTTTTACTTACGTCTGTGTAAATTGTTTATAGCATATTAGTATGCAATCAATAGATTAAAATATTAAAAAGTTTTCTTCACAACATGTTACACCCAATAATACGCCAACGTGGAAAATTTGTTTATTATATAATGATCTTACCAAATTCCACCGAATCTCAACGAAATACCGGTTTATCAAGAATTGTTTTATCTTTGATTAAGTTCTGTACGGATGAGTGTTATCGACAAAATAAGTTTTTCGCTATCGGTCACAACTGCATTTTTTTTGGTGGTACCATGTCTGTATAGAATATACAGACCAAAACTATTACGTTCACTGTGATGGATGCTCACGTTTTACGACTCCGTTGGGCATAGGATTACACTATTAAAATGCTACTTATATACAGAATATTATAATATGCTTTGTTGGATTGACGTCAATAAATGCAGACAGTATACGTGTGTACCCAACGGTTTTTTCTTTTTATATTTTTCGCTTAAATCGACAGTCTCAGAGGCACTAACGACTAACCAATGGGTACAGAATACAACTTTATGCTGACACGATGACTTATTGTGTTAGTTATACCACGTGGCCCAGCACATAAGCACACGACTAATTTTGGTTAAACAAATTCATAATATACTATTTATAAAATAAATATTACAAGTTAAAACTTAAAATTTATAACTATTATCTTTTTTTTTATAGATACATTTTATTTATTAAATACTAAAGTTGTCAAACGGCATAATTTCTAATATTAAATATTTTCTGAGGTCGAAAACAATATCAAATATTATATCGAAAAATATTGACTTGAATAATCATTGAACATCTTTTGTTTAATTTTTCAGAATTTCGTATAATTCATACAAAAGTGAAATTGATTTATTAAATCTTGGGACCTGTAGTATCGTCTCGATTTATTTTGAGAAGTTCAAATTGAATTTTGAAAAAAATATCTCAAAATATTTTATCGTCAAATCCACCTAGCCACTATACAGCTAATTTTCAAAAAAACTGGATTCGACGTATTGAATAATTGTAAAATGATTTCGGAACCGTTGGCCATCTCTTTAAAATACATGGGCAAGTGGCGTTTTGAATATAGGCTACTAACGGTACATCACAAATCTGCGGCATGGCATCAAATACTAAAAAACTCAATATCGGGAACAGCCATTGATCCTTGGCCGTTTGTTGTCCACACGTTTTAAACGACACCTGTTCTCTTACGAGTCCTGCCGCCGGTTTTTTTCGCACCACTTGTTCGTATTTTAGGACCTCCCACAAAGGTTTATACGTTCATAAAAATATTATATTCATGATAAAAATAAAATTATTTTTAATGACTTTTTATTACGATAGGTATTTTGTTATAGGCTCGTTTGTACGTTTAATAAATAATCCTACAGCTGAAACTTTTGGCCCAGTGCCATAAATGCACCTGGAATTAGTTTACATAGCCAATCACTTGGACTGTCTAGAAAATCTGGACAAAATAAAATTTAACAAATCGACGTTTAGTTACAGTATAAAACTACTTTCAACAATATACATTTTAAACTGGATCAAACTATATCCAAAATTGCTTAGAGTACCACATTCATAGTGAATGTATGTTTGAAATAATTCTGTTTCTAGCATATTTAATTGAAATTAGAGATTGTATTTTTTATTAATAACCCATATCGTAATTTATTTTAAGTACCTATTTCATGTATTATATACCTATTTGTTCCAACGTGTCGATAACTAATAAATAATACAAACAGCACGAACTCGGTCTATATAGTGTGTCGCCAAATTAATGACTAAGGTCTAAAGTAACATCAATGTATCATCAATGTTGTAATAAATTTGAAATCGATTAAGTTTAAAAAATAATAGGTTTTCAAATGGTTATTTAAAATGCAATTTTAACTAGCATAATTTTTTATTTTAGCTTGGGAAATTTTTTTAGGGGTGGTTTTGGGTTTCGGAGCCGGTTCATTGCGATTCTGTTCCGGGTCTAAACTACGAACTTAAAAAATAAGTAATCAGAGAAAAACGTTACCTGCGACGAGGGTCCGACCCCGAGGACGCCCGCTTTACCGGCGGCGAACGCGGCGTCACTGTTGCTCCGGTTGACGGCTTCGGCGTCCTGTCGCCGACACCGTTCGGCATGTTCGGCCAGGCACGCCACGTAAGCGATGGCGTGCGGCACATAAGACTGGTCGAATGTGCCGGAGAACAGCGCTTGCGTGATTCCCTGTGGCCCGGCCGCGTACACGGGCACGTCTTCGCCTCCGTGCGTGGCCCACTGTCGGGGCACTGCGGCCCCGTGCAACCGGTTGTGCGTCTCCGCGTCGGTGGCGTTCACCATCGGCACCAACCGGTGTTCGGCTCTGTGGCCGGGCCCGTTACCGTAGAGCAGCGTGCTGTACGGCAGACCGTCCACGTCCGACGGCTTCACGTCCACGCCTGTTGGAACGACACAAAGTGCAAATAAATGAAAACGTCCGGTTCCTGCGGTTCCTGAGGGGGCCGTGGATGTAACTGATCAGTGCCTACTGAAGGCTGCACTTTACATTATAATAGATCAAGTTTCCGTTTATAAATGCCTAGATATATATAATATGGTAAACGCGGTTCATTGATATTATATGTTTTTGCTGTTTGTTCAAAGTTCGGATAGTTTTAAAGAAGAAACCGTTTTAACAACGCAGCTCATGTGTTCGATTGATTCGTGTTACCGGTATGGATAAAGCTTAGTCCACAATGGTGTAGAATAAACGAGTGTCGGTGATTTCTTAAAAAATTTTTTCCTGACAATTATTCAATATTGCATATAATTTTTTTTCTTACAAAGTCAGAAAATCTAAGACGTCAACCTGACGCCTCTACAACAAGCCATTCACCCCCTGAACCCTTACCATTCCGCACGACCCTGTGGTATGACTCTGTGTAGTCCCGACCGATCGATAGGAGTGGATTCATTTAGCCGGCTATTGCGGTTCTCAGAAATGATTTTATTTTATTTATTTTTTTTAAAATCTAATATTACATTACCTGTAGTAGGTATTTCAAACTACAGGTTGTATAATACGAGGGCAAAATGTATTATTTACACAGTCCTATGAAATATTATGCGCCTGAGAAGTATTTTGAATTTTCAATGATCATTAAATGATGATTTTAATGATTTTTAAACTAATAGAACTAATAGAAAAAAAACTTAAATTTAACACTTTCGGCCGAAATACTCTTTGAGTGCTTTTTTTTTTATAGAGGTTATTCATTTATCTGTAGCGTTTCTTAGAACTAATATCGGTCCGTCCAAAGTCCCACGATTGAGTCACAACTAACCTAACCTCGAAGATCAGAAAATGACGGATATAACAATCCCATAGTATCACGACCAAGGCGTTCGCCTGGACTTGTAGATATGTGTATAATTGTATGAACAAGTTCATTTAATTTTAACATATAGGCATTTCACATTAATGGGAACATGATGTGTTGCCTATATGAATAGTTAATGCCTTAAATATTATACTAATTAGGAAATTATTGGAATTAGGTGCTTAAATGTTGTAAGTTTTTTTTTATTTAGGTTTGAACCTTTAACCGTGATCCAAAAAAATTATTTTCTTTTTTATAAAAGCAAATTAAGGCAAACATTATATTTTGTTCATCAATTAGAATACAAAAGAGCCATATTTTTTTAAGATTATTTTGTACTTTACTTTAATATACTTTTTTACCATTATAAATTTACTCAATATCCTTTATTGTTAGTTTGGTTATCCATTTAGCTTAGGCACTTACTTACAAAGTTAACTACTTGTATTTTATACTTGTTTTAATTATTTTTTATTTAATTTGTGACGAAATCTGCTATAATAATAATAATAATAATAATTAAAACTTCGAGATGTCAAGAATCTAACAACTCAAGTTGGCAGCACACCAAAAACTAATCGAGAAAATCTGTGCAATTATTTAAACGTCCATCACCATTCACTACCAGTATACAATTTTATATAATAAATTCAATATATTTTTGTGACATTGTATACTGTTTGCTTATTCAGTGATATTTTATACTCCTATTGTACTTATTGAGTGATAATTATATAATAATTTATAATCTTTTCTATATATAAAGGAAAGTTACTTTAGCAATAATCCACGTAGAGCCGAACCAATTTCAGTTATCGAATTGAAATTTTGAGGATGAATTAATATTGTAATGTCAAGCTCCACTAAGAAAGGATTTTTCAAAAACTTTGATTTTAAAGGGTTGAAATCGGCAAAAACAAATTGTTTACGTGCAAATTGTATATCTATATACATATTTTACAGCACGGCGACCTGTGGGTTTCCATTGCGACATGCAACACTATGTGTTTGATCGGCGTGTAGTTATGAATTGTTCCGAGAAGTGAAGTTCTACAAACTATCTATATCTATCTATGTATATAAAAATAAATTACTATTTCCCTTAGTCGATGCATCACGCTTATCACTCATAATTTAAAACGGATCCATCTATCTTCTATCTATATGATATAAGACGGTTAATTTATAATTTTTTAGTGCTCATTTCACAGTTTAATCAATCGGAAGATAAATGAAAAATTGTACAGTTAGTTTTTTGGGAAGTGTTTGTTTATAATGGTTAGTATAAGCAATCACGATTAAAATTTTAGAGAAACTTAAGTCGCCCGCGGGCCGCCGTACCATACAATAATATGTGTATGGATATACAATTTGCACGTTTATTTTAATTAATAACTAATTTTCCGAGGAACTTTCTTAATTTTTTATAAGAACTTGGTATTTTTTTTTAATTTTCCGGTTGCCATTGGTTAATCGGGCAAATCAGGTTTAAGCATGCATCAAATCGAATTTCAGTACATTGCCTACCAAGGTGGCTGTCCGCTGAGTTACACTTATAGCCGCTCATCGGCATGTACACAACCAAAATAATTAATAAAATTAAAATTAAATATATTATTCAAATAGAATGGGCATCCAGCGGTGTGCGCAATCAACCGCAGGTGGATAGCCCATCTGATAATATACTGCTCACATTATCACATGCGAGTCTCAAATAGAGTTGGCATTTTTAAAGGACAACGAAGTGCAAGAGATCAGCTAGAAATGATATTATAATAATGATATAATAAATCTTTGTTTCGACACAACACTACAGATAATTTGTGTACTGACGATAAATTTTATATATTTATATTTTAATCTATTTTATTTTATATTTTTATTTTATACATACATTTTAATTTAATTGTAGGCATAGGGTATTACCTATAGGCATAGGTAATATTAATATTTAATAGGTTACATTTTTTTTGCAAAAAAGACGTAGAGGAATTAAAAAACATACTTTCCAAGTACCTTCTTAGAGGCTGAAAAAATTAAATTACAATACTAGATATAGGTACGACTGTTATCGTAGGTAATAAGACAACTGAAAAACCGAAAAATATTAAATAATATCAGAGGTTCTTCAAAAATCATGGATAAATAATTTAAGAGTTGAATTGGTTGTATTGTGAGTTTATGATGTTTAAACATTATTAAAAAATACATATTTTTTATAAAATTATTATCAGCGTCATAACATTTACCTTTAAGTTATTGTAGGTATATATATTGAATCGCACAATAATAAAATCACTAATGGTCTGGGCTTAATGTTTTACAAATATTTGTTTTATTATTTCCAAACATAAAATTAAAAAAATACTGTTTGAAAATACTCATGCTTTAAAAATTTAAAATATATTTAAATTATATAAAAAAAAAATATTTCAACACTTAGCAAGTATAGTTATATTTTTAACTGACAATCATCGAGCTGCTTAAAAGCAGATAGGGAAAAGCTTAAATGCCCTCCCTCCACCCCGAAAAAAACAAAGGTTATGATTTGAATATAGTTGAGTAACATATGATTCATTTTTTTTTATCGCAGAGCGTTCCTCAATCTTCATACTGTGCAGGTAAAATGTTATTATTTCGTACTGAATATGTTAGTATATAATTGCAATATTTTCTGCACATACATTTTATTTCTGTTTGTTTATATTATAATGAGTTATATACTTATAAAATACCTATAAGTACGATATATTATGTTGATGAATAAAAAATCTTTGTGCACACCGCCTGGCACGTTTTTATTTTATTAAATTGTATATTAAAACTATAACATTCTTAAATTTAATTTTATCGACTTTCTCACCAGCTGCGTGCAACACAAATTATACACATATTTATTTAGTTTCGCGGTGAATATTAAGTAACACGTTTCTAGACGTGCAAAGATTATAATATATATGCGTATAGTTTTTTTATTTTAATAAATCGACGAGAATCGTATTCGAGGAAAACGCGAGATATCAGAAGCTATATTTAGGACAGTTTTCAATTCCATTCAATTCAAATAAAGTAAAATATTATTTAATTTTTCTGCCATTTGAGAAAGAATGACTTTTCATTCGCAGTATTTTTCAGTTGATATTCACTGTGTGCGCATAAGTCGTTGTAGGATAATAGTTGAATCCAAAACAGTGCTTTCCCGGAATGTTAAAAACCAAACTGAAATTTTTTCTAATATGTTGCTGAGTTTCTACAATAATTATCATTAATTAGAAAAATATAATATGAAACTTGATGCTGTTTAAAGAAACGCCTTGCTTAAGATAAGAATAAATTAAAGTTCTGTCATCAGAACAATGACACAAAAAGATAAATTATTTTTATAATTAAAATTAAAATAGCCATAAAGATGCTATATCTAAGCAATAATTGTGTTTTTATTTTTATTTTTAATAACGAATGTATAAAAGAAAAGAATATAAATGTTTTTTTGTATAACTCAAGTCTCAAGAGTATATACGAAATTCGCTCTACAAATTAATTTGCAAGCTTTGTGATTTCTGTAAAATTATTAGTTAATAATGAATCAATTTTTCGGACATCTAACAATTTTTGATTACTATTTTATTGGTTTTAATTTTAAATAAAATAAGTTTATTAGTTTCATTATTATAAATTATATAACAATTTATTTTGTTATTATTGTTCATACAAAAATATACAAAAATGGTAAGAATATAATTAAAATATTAAATATTCATAAATCTTAAGTGTATTATGCTTTCCTTTAAAAAAACTACATATTTTATATTCAACACAGTATTTTAATGTAAACAAATCTTATGATTTAAAACATTAATTTATAATATAGTATTATATTTTCGTTTATACAATAGTAACCAATCATAAAGTGTTGATGTATTTATGTATGTAATTGCAATATGTCTAAAATGTTGAAAAAGTATAACAACTACAAATATAAGTAACCATAATAAATCTACATATTTTGATTAATTTAACTTTTCAATAAAAAAATACATTGAAATAAAAGCAAATAATATTAATCTGTAGTGTTTTTT